GCAGAAGCAGGAGAAGCAGAAACCCAAGGCCATCTTCAACTACACAGTGAGTGTGGGATCACCCTTAGCCATATGAAGCCTTGTTTAAAAAAAAAATCAAATTATTTAATTAAATTGCAAAAGAAAAAAAAATCCAGCCTTTTCCTTACTCATTCCTGTACTTGCTGTGACCAGAGCCCTACTCTGTTTTGTCTATCAGACCAGTCAACCTCCAAGTCTTCTGGAACCCTCCTATGGTACCCTTCCCTAAGCATCTATCCAAATACCCTCATACTGATTTACTATCTCCAGAGACTCTGGTTGGTTGAGCTTTTGTTCTGTTTTTGAAACAGGGTCTTAGGTAGAATAGGCTGTGCACGAATCCCCTAAGAAGCTGAAGATGACCTTGAACTCCTTTCTCCACCACCATTGCCAGCTGTCAATAAACATTCCTTAAATAAACGGACAGAAGGGCAGTGGCTTCTTAACAAGCTGCAGGGAGAATATGCAGGTATCACTGTCTCCAGCTAAGGGCCTGGAGAGATGACTCAATGTTGGTTAGAATGCTTGGTGCTTTACAGAGAACCTGAGTTCAGTTTTGCCAGCTTCCAACCACCAGTAACTCCAGCTACAGGAAATCTGCATCCCCCCACCACCACCACCTTCTGGCCTCCGCATATACTGGATTCTCATACACATACACACACACACACAGAGAGAGAGAGAGAGAGAGAGAGAGAGAGAGAGAGAGAGAGAGAGAGAGTTAAAAATAAGAATATATTTCTAATGGTAGTGAATGGCTAATGTTACATTGATGGCTCATTTTATGTTTAAACGTTTAAAAATTGCTGTGCTAACAAAACTGTAAGGCCCAAATGGACCTGCAAATACACTAAGGGCTCTTAAGGGCTATTTTTAAATTGCCTGGTCTTGTACAATTTTAACAAAACAGTTGTTTATGCGTGAAACTTGATCCTACAGTTAACTGTTGCCTTTACTTATGTAAACAAAAGCTTATTTTGCTCCAGCCAGCCTTCTGCTTGCCTACAGACAGAATGCAACTTTACATTCTTTGACTTTGTAAACCCCTGACTGATGTGGCTGGGCTGAATCCAGTCCTGGGTGTAGACCTGGCACCAGTTTCTGAATAAAAGCCTCTAGCCTCATCATAAATGCCCTTCCCGGAGAGTGAGATCAACAACTAACTTCTCCATGGAGTCCTCAACTAATGCCTGTTGAAAACAGGAGCAAACACCCATACATAAACACTGAGTCAAACTAGAACCCAGAAGCAGATGGAGAGGACAAGACCATGCGGTAGAAGTACATAGAGACAGCTTACCTGAACAAGGAGGAGCTAAGGGCCACTAGACTGATAGCTGGGAAGCCAACAGAGGTCTGACTCGGACTCCCCTGAATATGGGTCTCAGCCAGAAGGTCTGAGCAGTCTAAGAGACCTCAGACAGTGGAGCCAGGATGTATCCCTGGTGCACAAAAGGACTTTGCAAACATATCCCCCATGGAGGGATAACTGCCTTATTCTAGAGATAGGAGAGAAGCCCTAGTCCCTACTTCACAGGACCTGTCAGATCTACATGACCCCAACTGGATGGCATTCCCCTACATATTGTATTGTGGTGGGGGGTTGGGAGGGGAGGGTGTTTAGAGTGCATGGGAGAGGGTAGAGAGGGCAAAAGGGAGGGAAGGAGGGAGGGAGGGCTTGGGGGGAGGGAGGGAGGGAGGGAGAGGGAACTGGGATCGACATGTAAAATAATAATAATAATAAAAAAAAAAAAAAAAAAAAAAAAAAAACGCTTTGACTCCAAAATTTAAGTTGAAGAACAAGTTACTGGGGAAAAGTATTTCTATTTTTGTTTCCACAGAAAATGAAAAGATGTGGATTCCTTCCAGACTAATGTGGTTTGATCACACCAGACCGCCTGAAACAGAGTACAAGCTGATCCTACATTCCAAACAGCTGGACAAAACAGCCCTACAGACTACAGCTAGGATATCTGAATCTTCTTCGAATCCCCCAAGACAGCGCCCCTTACCAGCAGGAAGTAGTTTGGAAAGAACGACGCCCAAATTCCCAAATATTGTGTATAAATGTTTGTTTTCATTTAATTGGACTTTGTTATATAAAATTAAATAAAAAATACTCTATATGCAAAAAAAAAAAAAAAAAAAAAAAAAAAAGCCTCTAGCCTCTTCTTTGTTTACAATGTATTAATGTCGGACTGGTGACTCTCCGAATGACCTGAGACACATCACAGCAGTTAGGATAGTGTTTACAGCTTTGCACATGCACTAGCAAGAGATGTCACAAGCATCTCAGCAGAACCAATAACTTTAGCTCCATTCTAAAATGTGGAAATTGAAGCCAAGAGACCAGGCAAACTTAAGGTCACGATGCAAGTTCGAGGTCACATGTAATAGAACCTGCCCCCAGGATGCCTAGGTTACCATGACCTAGGGTCCTCAGTCTAAAAGTCACAGCAATTCGTAAGAACAGCCTGAGGACAACTGCAGAAATATAGAAGGAGACACCTGCATTTAGGCCCTGGGTCTGTGGGAGGAGGCTGGGCCGAACCCTTGGATCTAAGTGAGGATCTAACTGAGGGAAGAGGGCTACAGCCTGGACCTCTGGGGCTGAAGAAAGAAGGCAGGGCCTGGACCCCTGAATCTGAGAGAGGAGGCCTGTGGTCTAGAGCCATAGGATCAAGCAATGAGAGTTGGGGCTTGGAGAGCTGGAGCCTGACCTGGTTCCCTGACTCTAAAAGAGTTACAGCAGGCTTTTATCTAGGTGGGAGGATATTCTGGGTTAGCCAATGGCAGCTCCTTGCAGACCGCTAGCCCCGCCCCAGGGCTGTATGCTTTTATGGGCCTTGGCCCTGTTTCTTCTTTTGCCCCTCCCTTTCCTGTTAAAGCCCCCAGAAGGATCTAGAAAAGACTTCAGGAAAGATCGAGAAGATGGAAGAGCTAAAAGATGAGGCTTCGTGCAGTGGGTGAGTAAGATAAAACCTTTCAGGGAAGAGCCTCATAAACAAGAGGGGATAGAGCATGTTAGAGCCAGGAGGAACTGAAAGTTCCGCTCGAAAACCAAACAGACAGACTCAGGTTTTATGACCTAGGAACTCTCTCTCTTTCTGTGGGACTTGGTGGCTGAGTTGCAAATGTGGAGGCAAAAGGAACAGAGGTTCGAGGTCATCCTCAGCTACATAGCAGAGTCTGAGACTAGCCTGGCTACATGAGACCTTGTCTCAAAATAAATAAGTAAAATAATTAATTACAAAGTTAAGCCTTAGACACTTAGCAGCTGGGAATTGGAGCTGGGGATTTGTGTCTTGGAATTAATAAGAAAAGGTAATAACCAGGTGGGGGAATTCACGGTGCTGTGTCCCTGGTGTCGGTGCAAAGGTACCAGGCAGTTGATGTATTTACCGGTCTTATTTCCTTTCTAGGGACAACCTTTCTCTGCCGTTAGCTGGGACTGATGCATGGCCTGCTTCAGCCACCCCGACTCTGCCACCCTACCTTCTGAGCACCCTAGACCCAGCCCACCTGGGGCTCCCTGAGCAACTGGCCTCAGTTACTGTACCCATCCGCCTGGACACTCTATCCTACCTCCTACACAGTGCCCTACTGGGAACCTACAACTTCCAACAGTCCTTACCGCCTTGCTCTTGCTCTGCCCAGCCATGCCACGTCTCACCAGACACAGTCAGGAGGCCTCCCAGGAGATGGGACCAGGCCCGAGGGGGCTGGGAGGCTCGGCGCAGGCCTTTCCGGGGCAGAAGCAGGGGCCGGGGCCAATCACAGTGGGGTCCTGTGAGAGCCAACGAGCTGGAGAGGAGCATGGCAGGAGGCCCTGGGGCTGGTCCCAAGACTCAGCCAGTGACACCACCATCCCAGGATGGGCAGAAGGAAGCTGGAGGCCTGGAGCCAACCCTGCCCCCAACACCACTGTCTGAAGACTGGGAGACAGACTACTAGGGCCCTGAAGAGCATCCAGTACCCAGGGGTTTCCAGAGCTTACAGGGTTCTTAACCCTTCAGAGGTACCCCTTAAGGAACATCATCTCTCCAGCCTTCCCAGGCCCCAAAGCACAGCCTCCAAAGGCTTCCTACAGATCACACTGTAAAGCCTAAGCCTGACTTAGCATCCCAAATAAGAAAACTCCCATGCGCAGACTCACAGTATCCCAGCCACAGCTATTATCCCATCCCATCTTATTCTCAATGCCCCCAGGGATGCTGCAACCCCATTTCCAGACCAAATCATCACCCAAAGCCCTTCCTCTTCCCATTCCATAGTCAACCCATTTCACCACCCTCCCCCACTCCCCTCTTGGCCTCCAGTTCTAACCCATGTTCATTCCTAATTTGCTTATTTGCTGTTTTTTTCAGTACTAGTCTCCCAGATACCAGTAGAACACTGAACTAAACTGCAACCCTCTTGTTTTTATCTTGAGAAAGGATCTCGCTAAGTGTCCAAGCTGGCCTTGAACTTGCGACCCTCCTGTCTCAACCTTCCACCTATCTGGGATTAAAGATTTTGGCCACAAGGTCTCGAATCATCCCCAGCTTGTCTGTCTGTTTTAACCCTGTCTCACCGACCCTCCTCTCAGTCAGCCGTGGACCACTAGCCTGGGCTTACTCTCCTCTTCTGGTCCCTGATTCACGGTCACCTCATATCATACCACCCTCATACTCACATTCATGGCATGCCAAGCACCATCCTCAACTCTCCAGCCCAGCTCTGACAAGCCCTTGATCCTACCCCAACGGATCCCCTTGGCCTGGCATGTCCAGACACCTGTATCCACCCCTGCCATTGCTGTTCTCTGTCCCTCACGCTGGGAAGCCCAGGTTGAACAATAAAAAGATGTTTATTCTATCTCTTTTGTGTGGGCCGTGCTTCCTGTGAGGCTCAGGCTAGCCAGAGTGGGGACAGGAGTAAAGCCTGGGAGATGGGGAGGGTCACAGACAGAGGCTGATGGGGCCCCCTTGTCCCCTGTCTCAGCAAATTCCATTGAGGCCTCTGCTGTCACTGTGTTTCTGCCTGCTGGAAGCTGCTGGGCTGTGCAGCCATTGTGTGGGGAGGCTTAAGGGATTTGGGGGGCCACGAGGCAGAGACACCAGCAACCTGGCTCGGCTCAGTCTCTGCAGAGGGGCTTCAGCAGAAGGAGGGCTCAGAACAAACTCTGCCACTCAGGTAGGCACCAGCATGAGATCTACAGCCCCCTCCCTGAGAAGTTTAGGCTCCCAGCCCCTCTCTCTAAGAGTCTTGAATTGAGATTTCATGGACATCTTTCTGTCAGGAATGAAGAATGCAGATTCCCAGCCCTCCTCCCTCAGACCCGGGGGTCCAGGCATCTATCCTCCCTCAGGCCCAGGAGTCTAATCTCCACCCCTTCTCTCCTCCTTTAGGTCCAGTCTTCCTCTCAAACCCAGGGGCCCAGACCCAACCCTCCTCCCTCAGGCCCAGGGTACCCACTCACAACCTGAGCTCTCCCCTCTCCACAGGTCACCATGTACAGCTTCATGGGTGGCGGTCTCTTCTGTGCCTGGGTGGGGACCATCCTGTTGGTGGTAGCCACAGCAACGGACCACTGGATGCAGTACCGGCTGTCGGGGTCCTTCGCACACCAGGGCCTGTGGCGTTACTGCCTGGGTAGCAAGTGCTTCCTGCAGACCGAGAGCATTGGTGAGCCTTGAGGCCAGGATTTGAGCAGTGCTGAGGTCTAGCTCTCCCCCCAGAGCACAACCCTATGGCCATCACCCCTGGCAGTCTAAGGGAAAGCATGGTGACTCAGAGAGACAGAGGGCAGAACAGACTTGGGATCTATGGATTGTTCTCTAGTTACAGTGGCAGGGTGTAAGTGACAGGCTTTGTGGTTTGGTTAATGGAGTGGCGTTTCCTCACACAAAGTGGTGTCAGGTGCAGCAATGAGACTGGCGTTGCCAGAGCAGCACTTTATACATATGTGTCACGAGCTGGGTGTGGTCAGCATCTGGGATGTGGTGACAGGAGGATTGTGAGTTTTAGGCTTCATAGTTTGACCCTGTCTCAAAATACAACAAATAAATAAGTGCTATGAACCAATACACAGTGTTAGGGACAGGGACCACAGAGGCTGTTGATGGACTGCCTGTCAGATGAAAGACTTTTTGCTATCTACCTACTGTGTACTTATAGATGGATGGATACATGAATGGATGAATAGGTGATTGACCAGCTGATATTGATTGGTTGATTGACTGATATATGTAGGATAGAAAGATGATGAACAGGTAGGCGAATGGATGAAGAATGGGTAGATGATAGATAGTGATAGAAAGATAGAATAGATGATAGAGTGGATGGATGAGTGGATAGATAGGATAAGCTATATGATGGATAAAGGTATAAATAATGTAGAAAATGATGGCTAGAATAGAAGGATAGATAGATAGGAAGGATAGGACAATCTAGATGATAGATAAGATGGATGAATGAATAGGTAAGTAGGAAGTATCTTAGTTACTCTTCTATTGCCATGACAAAACACCATGACCAAGGAAACTTACAGAAAAAAGAGTTTATTGGGGCTTACAGTTTCAATGTGTTAGAGTACATGACCACCATGGGGGGGGGCAGGTGTGGTGCAGCAGTAGCTGGGCAATCACCTCTTAATCAACGAAGAGGGGAGGAGAGAGGGGGGGAGAGAGGGAGAGAGAGGGAGGGAGAGGGAGAAAGGGAGAGGGAGGGAGGGAGGGAGAGGGAGGGAGAAAGGGAGAGGGAGGGAGGAAGGGAGAGAGGGAGATCTAGGCCTAGCATAGACTTTAGAAACTTCGAAGCCCACCCCCAGTGGCACACCTCCACCCAAAAGGCCATGCCTCCTAATCCTTCCCAAATAGTTTCACAACTGCGAACCAAACATTTAAATATATTCCCATTCAAATCACCAGAGGTAGGTAGACAGGCAGACCAACAGACAGACAGGCAAGCAGGCTGGCTGGCTAGCTGTCCAGGTATGATGGCTTACATCTATAATTCCAGAACCAGGAGGCTGAGGCAAGGGGATTGTCTGTCACCCAAATAAACAAATAAATAAAGGGTACATGAGTTCTAACCCTGACACAACAGAGAGAGATGTAGAGTCCTGAGATTCACTGGCCAGCGAGCTTAGCCTACTTGGTAAACTCCAAGCCAGAGAGCAACTTTATCTCAAACAAAAGCCAAGGTTAACCTTGGGTCTCAATATGCACATACACACATGTACCCACATAAACAGGCATATACTCATACAAACACACACACACACACACACACACACACGATGGGAGAAGGATGACATGGAGAAATATATTACATAGAATATATATATTAGGTATGAATATGTAATATTAATGAATAATATGCTCTATAGCATGGGAAATTAGTAGTATTTAATATTTGTGTTTAATGTATCATACAAAACAGTATATGATAATACATCATGTTACACATCATGCACAAGATTTAAGATTTTCTACAATATATTTGTTAATAATTATTGAATTTTATTCCCCAAAACAGCAAAAATAAGCTAAACCTACTAAGTGCTTACCTAGCCCAAGCACCTTTCACAGGTCAGCCTCCTTCCATCTCCCAGAAATGCTGGGAAGCAGTTGTTTGTAAGGATTGGACAGAGGCAAACATGATGGTGTTTGCAATTCCAGAACTCAGGAGAACCAGGAGGACCCATAGCCTGAACTATATGGCAAGAGCCTGTCTCAAAAACAGAGGAAAGTATGGTATCTCAGGAAGGTAGAGATAGGAGAGTCAGGAATTCAGTCTCAACCTTAGCTCCATCATGACTTCAAGGACAAGAGACAGGGCTCTAAGAGACCCAGTCTCAAAACTTGTTACTAAACATTGATCATGTTCCAGATAGGTGTCTGGGGCTGGGGATGCAATGAACAGCGAAGCAGCCAGCTCTGGTCTTTTTAGATCAGACTACAAATATAGTTAAGACAAAAGAACAGGACTTTGTGGATGCAGAAAAGTATAATGGATGAAAAGGAAAGGATGAGTAACATAGAGATTACTGTTAAGAGCGTATGGGAAACATTCACTCAATAAACATTATACATGACCTACATCGAGCCACACCCATGCTGGGGTGTTCACAGCAAGACCCAAGCCAGTCCCTATCTTCAGGGAGAAGTCAGCTGGAGGGGATGACATGAGAGAGACAGCTAGAACCCAAAGCAGAGGTTGAGGATAGTAGCCCTGATCAGAGCAACACTTCCCAGAAGAGGTCATGAGAGCTGGGGCTTTGGAGTGTGAGTATGAGTGTGCTAGGTCAAAAGAGGGAAAAGCTGAGTCAGAAGTAGTGACCTGGGAGTGACTGTGATGTGTCCCCACAGCATACTGGAATGCCACCCGGGCTTTCATGATCCTGTCTGCCCTGTGTGCCACCTCGGGCATCATCATGGGCGTCCTAGCCTTCGCACAGCAGTCCACCCTCACTCGCCTCTCCAGGCCCTTCTCCGCCGGCATCATGTTTTTTGCCTCCAGTGAGTGAGCCCACCCTTCCTTCCCCACCCAAATTTTCTAACTCCTCAACCCCACTGCAACACCCACTTCCTGTGACTCTCCACTCCATTCCCTCTCATCCCTACACCCAGCTCCACTGACTTTTCTTTCTTCTTAGCTCTTAACTCTGTGTTTTAATTAAAGACAACCACTTCCCCCCTCCCATCTTTCCTTTCTCTCTTTTGTCCTGGTGATAGAATAAAATCTCAGGAACTTACACACACTAGAAAGGCATTCACTCTTAGCTTCTCACTGGGGAATTCTGGGCAGAGCTTCTACCACTGAAAACACCCCAGCCCCTCACTGGAACCATAGGCAGGAGCTCTGCTACTGAATCACACTCAGCCTCTCACTAGGGTATTCTAGGCAGGGATTCCAATACTAACTAACACCCTCGAGAACTTAAAAATATTTACACTCACAGTGACAGTCTTTATAGACAGTCAGCTGAAGACCAACTAATGAAGACACGTAAGGGGAGTCCTATCAGAATTTTTTCGCACAGGTGATGAAAAGGACATTGGTGGCATTTCTCATTGATGTGACCAAATACTTAGCAAGAAACAACTTAAGGAAGGTAGGAAAGTATGTTTGTCTCATAGCTGGAGGCCACAGACCATCATGGTGGAGAAGTCATGATGGCAGAAGCATGAGGCAGCTGTATCCACAGTCATCCACAGTCAGGAAACAGAGAGATGGCAGTTGGTATTCAGCCCACTTTCTTATTTTTTATGCTATTCAGGATCCCAACCCATGAGATACTACTGTTGCCCACATGCAGGATGTATATTCTACCTTAATTCAAATGCTCTGGGGGGCTGGTGAGATGGCTCAGTGGCTAAAGACACTTGCTTTCAAGTCTGGAGAACTGAGTTTGCATCCCCAGAACCCACATTCTGGAAAGACAGAACAGACTCCTAATGATTGTTCTCCGACATCCTCACAGTGCTATGGCATGCACACATAAATCAAATAAAAAATGATAACTCCTTCTCTGGAAAGGCAAACACACGCGCGCACACACACACACACACACACACACACACACACACACACACACAGACCACACACACTCCTAGGTGAGTAGAGCTGACACTGAAGACCAAACCATCACAAAGGGACTCACTGCCCGTGACGTTGTCTAACCTCCATCTTCCCCTGTCCCAGAGGCAGCACTCTCAGACACAGGCTCTTAATAACCTTCTGTCTTAGTCACTACTGTAAAGAGACACCATGACCACAGCAACTCTTATAAAGAAAAACATTTAATTGGGGCTGGCTTACAGTTTCAGAGATCTCAGTTCATTATCTTAATAGAGGGGAAATTGCTGGCATTCACTGTGCTGGAAAAGTATCTGAGAGCTACATACTAATCCACTGGCCAACAGAGGGACAGTTTGGGCTTGGCATGGGCTTTTGAAACCTCAAAGCCCACCCCAAGGGACACATTTCCTCCAACAAGGCCACGCCTCCCAATCCTTTTAATACGTTCAAATAATGCCACTTCATTCAAAAATATGAGCCTAAGGAGGCCATTCTTATTCAAACTACCACAGCCTCCAGTCCCCTGGTGGGTGTTTCTGAGCCACCTGTTAGTTGGTACAAACTCTATAAACCAGAACAGTGCAGGGATTTAGTTTCCCTCCCAGAATCCAGAGACAAGGAACTGTCCAATGCTTTATTGTACTTCTCTGCCTTGTCCTCATCCGATCCCATCCCCCACATCACCTTCACTAACACCACTGTCCCCACCCTCATCAGCCTCCCTCTTCCTTATCTCCAATTCTCTCATCCCACTCCATCGCACCCCATGCTCTCTCCCCAGCTCTTTTTGTACTGTTGGCCTTGGCCATTTACACTGGAGTCACCGTCAGCTTCCTGGGCCGCCGTTTTGGGGACTGGCGCTTTTCATGGTCTTACATCCTGGGCTGGGTGGCCCTGCTCATGACCTTCTTTGCAGGTACTGAGGCAGGGGGGTGGGAAGGTTGAAATCTAGGGCAAGGCAAGCAACCTCAGATTGCAAGTTGGCAAGGTATCCTACACAGATCTAAAGACAGACTCTAGGTCTAAGGGGTCTGGGGACTGGTGACCCTAGGGGAGGGAGGAAATGAGGAGTCTCTTGGGATGACATGTAGGTTCAAAGGGTTTGGCGTGTCAATGCTTTCTGTCCACAGGGATTTTCTACATGTGTGCCTACCGGATGCATGAGTGCCGGCGCCTATCCACCCCACGCTGAGACCTGGGGTAAACCTTGCAGCTGGAAGTTACCACGAGGGCACTGAAGAGGAAGGGGAGGACCTAGGTGCCAGAAGTCCTGGCTCCTGAGGGAATGAGGGGGCTCATTCCTGGATTCTAGATAGGGGAGTCCCTGATCCCTCTGTTCTGTGTTGGTCAGGTGGGAGGGAGTTGAGAAGACATGAACCTCCATCTGCCACAAGGGGTGGTAGAAAAATCGAAAACCTTTTAGAGAGACATTTTGGGATCTAATAAAACTGATGTGAAACTATTAAAGTGTGAGTCCTCACAGGGCTGGTTTAGAGAGAAACGAGCTAGTGTGGTTGTCGGGAACAGACATATTCTGATGTGTTGGCCTTTCTTCCTCAGTTCTACAAGGAACAAGATAAATGGGTCCCTCAGAGCTAGCCATGGTGTAATGTCTGGAAGTGAATGTGTGGGATAAGAGGATGAACAAATTGATCCTAGAAACATAGCTTTCCTGCTCTCCACCCACCTAAGCTCCAGGAATTCCTTAATTCCCTTCCCCTCCCCTCCCTGGATGACCCCTTCACTAGGGAGAGCACAGCTCTGTCCCCCTCTCTATTTTATGTTTTTGGATGGACAGGGTCTCATGTAGCCCAGGCTGGCCTTAAACTCACGCTCCTCTGGCCTCAGATCTTGAGTGTTGGGAAGACAGTTCTAAGTCACCAGAGAAAGAGATGACAGACACATTTTGTGATTCCCTGTAAAGGGGTTGACCATTACTGGAGGACAGAGGCAGAAGAACCTGAAGGGCCACTTTGTCTCCACTCCCCAGACACCTCATCTTGGTGATAAGACTCCCATGCTGGAAGGCCCACCTGGGTGGGGTGACTTCTCACCATATGTGTGAGATGAGGATGTAGGAAAGCCAGCCTTCTGTCCCTAAGCTTTATGGAATCTTGTCTGTCCGGGGCAGAAGCTTTAACTAGGAACATGGGATCTCTCTCCACGCCAAGCCCTTCCTCCCATGGAACTGGTATTTTGACCTCCCCTCCCCTCTACTGTTGGAAACTCTAGTGCTAGAGTCTAGGAGCAAAGTGTAAAAACCACAGGAAAGTATGACACAACTGTCCCTTCAGCCACATCTCCCCTTTCAGTTAATTTGCACCCTAGTATGACTAGTCCACCTCCCCCTCCCTCTGGGCCCCCCTCCCTCTGGGCCCCCCAAACCCCTCCCTAAGTTCTTCCAGGAAACCCTCTCTGTTGTCTCCAACTTTGGAGTTGCAGAGCCTGTGACACCAGTGTAAACCACTACCTAGACCACGGAAGGTGGAGACCCCCAGAGCAGCCAGCTAGTAAAGACATCAGCAGGCCTTCTGGTACCACCCAGGTGGAGAAGAGCCAATCTAAGAGGGGAGAGGAAGCCACGCAGGAAGAGAGGGTGTCAGAAGAGTCAGGTGTCAAGCCTGCCACTCGTTGACTGCTTTTCTAGCTCAGAGGTCCTGGGAGTTTGGGCGCATGTCCCTTTTCTAAGACCCAACAGTCTGGGTTATCTGTGTCTTCATCCCCTAAGAAGTGGAAACTCAGAGCTGTTTCCATGGAGCCCTGCCAGTCCCTGGCCCTGCTTGCCGGCTCCCTGGGCCTGATTTCTTCTCTGATTGCTCTGAGCACTGACTTCTGGATAGTGGCCACAGGCCCCATATCCTCTTCCCACAGCGGTCTCTGGCCAACAACACATGAGAGTCAAGTAGCAGGTAAAGTGCAATGGGCTCTTGGGGTGGGAATGTCCAGTGGGGATCAGACACCCAGAAGTCTCATCTTGCATTAGGCTATATCCATGTGACACAGAGCTTCTGTATCCTGGCCGCCCTGTGGAGCCTGGTGTCCGTGGGCTTTCTGATTCTGTCTTACAGTCCGGCCCTGTCCATCCCAGGCCGTGGCCCTCTGGTCTCAACTGTAATGGCTTTTGCTGCAGGTATGGATGGGACCTGGGCTGCACTGGGACCGCAGAGCTGGTGAGTCCTGCAGTGGCCAAGCAGCTCTCTCTTGTTCTTGCCCTCAGCTCTCTCCATAATAGTGGCCATGGCAGTGTACACCAGTAACAGATGGAGCCAGACTCCATCTCCCCAGGTCCAGACATTCTTCTCCTGGTCCTTTTACCTGGGCTGGGTCTCCTCTGTCCTCTTCCTCTGTGCAGGTAACTACTCAGCCCACCTCCCCAGGGAGGACCCTGCTGGGGTGCGGGAGGAAAGTGCAGGGCATTCAAGTACTTACTCTCCCCTCACAACTCTGTCTCCACCCCAGGATGCCTGAGCCTGGGTGCTCACTGTAGAACCCACCGGGCTGGGTATGAAAACTTGTGAACAGAAGGCAAGACAGTGGGGTCTGCAGGATGTTTGGAGCCTTGTCCTCTCAGGAGCTACAGACGAAATGCAGGATTCTGTCTCTGCCCCACCCCCCACCTTGCCTTACCCTTCACTGGTTTCTTCACACATTCAATAAAAACATACTGAGATCTAATTGTCCCAAGATCAGATCAGTCAAAACATAAACCGAGCCAGGCCTATCATCCCAGTTACTCAGGAGGCTGGAGCAGGGACTATCACACCTTCAAAGCTACACTGTACTCTGAGCTACACAGTGAGTTCAGGGCTCGCCTAGGTGACTTAGTGAGACCTTGCCTCAAGGCAAAAAATAAAACAAGGGCGGGGATGGTGGCTTGCTGAGCACAAGTGAGGTCCAAGTTCCATCTCTAGCACCTAAGTCAACCATATGTGAGCCTTATGGTAGGTAACAGAGGAGCCCTCAGGGAAGGGAGAGCCATGTCCATGCAGACCTGCACACCTCAAGTGGCTTCTGCCCTGTGTGGACATAGGCTCCCTTTGCCTCTCTCCCCTATTTAACGGCTCTTCTTTTTCCCAGCATCTGTTTTTCTTTCTTCTTCCCCAGGTGGCCCCCATTTTATTAGGCATTTCCTTCTCTCTGTGTGAGGCCACTCTGGGACCACTGACATGCATCACAAACAAGCCCTAACCACTAGCATTTGACGTGGGCCAGTTGACAGCCACAGCCTGAGGATGTGGGAGGAAAACTAAACCCAAGCATGCCTTTTTCTTTTCTTTCTTTCTTTTTTAAACCAGAGATGACATTTAGCAACTATTCTTTTGGTTTAACACAGAGAATGAAATACAGGGCCTCCTTCAAGCTAAGGCAAGCCCTCAATCACCAAGCTACATCCCGAACTCTCTCACTAACTGCCTAGGCAGTCATTGAATTCACAGCAATCCTCCTGCTTCAGTCTCTGAAGTATTAGGATTACAAATATTCATTAGCACAGGAACGATGCTATCCAGACAGAGATGCCAAAAGATGGATGGAGACATGGAAAGGGCAGGAAAGGTGGTGGAGACTGTGGAGGTGGGAAGTTATGACAGAGAAGCATCTGGGAACTATTGCCACAGCTAGGTTTCTCCTTACAATGGTGACACATTGGGCAATAACTGAACAGGGGAGAAGCTGTCCCGTGTGTGTGTGTGTGTGTGTGTGTGTGTGTGTGTGTGTGTGTGTGTGTGTGTGTGTGTGTGTGTGTGTGTGTGTGTGTGACCTGGGGGGGGGAGATTGGAAGGTTGGAAATCAGGTAGGAAGGGACAGAGCTCAGGGTCAAAGGTACACCAGAAGGAAAGCACCTAAGGCGTTGGTCTGACAAAGTGGATGAGACAGCCAAGCTGTTACAAGTTTGATCCCTGATCAGATGTGATTGATTCCATGCCCATGATGTTAGTGGCAATGTGGTTGAGTGGCCATAGAGGAGAGCCAGGAGCAGGCTATTTAGGGATCAGATGAAGAACCTGGGGCTAGAGGTGGCATTTTGGTTGCTCTCTGAGATGGTCAAGATTGGGGAGAGGAAGGCTCTCCTGGATAGAGGCTTATGATGGCACCCAGAAGAGATCAGCATTTACTAGGGAAATGGAGAAGAGGATGGAGCCCTGCCTGCATGGGGCCCAGGAGAGCTTATAGGGTACCATGATAGTTAAAGGAAGAGAAACTTTTAGAACTTGATCAGCGATGCAGTAGTTGTAGGTTTGAAACTCCTGCCTTCTCGTTTTCCTTCCTTCCTCCCTCTCTCCCTTTCTTCTTTCCTGAATCACCTGTCCTTCCTCCATCCTCTTCCCTTTTCTTTTTGAGACAGGAGCTCCGCTGACCTGAAACTCACATGTAGATCAAACTAGCCTCAGAATTGAAGGTAAGCCTCCTGCTTAATCCTTCCAAGATTGCAGACAGGAGCAACCACCTGGCTCCCAGCTTGCTTTCTGAGCTGTTGTTCTGTTAAAAGAGCCTCTGGAGCTGGGCTCAGAAGCTGAGTTCAGTTCCCAGGACCCACATCAGGGTGGCTCAAAGCCAAAGGAACTTCAGTTCTAAAGGATCCAGTGCCTCTGCCGTCCATTGGGCACCTGCATTCAGAAGACATAACACACACAGACACATGGATACACGTGATTAAAAATGACAATTTACCTTTCAAAAATAAGAAAAATTAAAAAATTTAAAAGTGAAACTGCTGGGATCTGGGCTTAGTGGTGCACTCCCTGTACATGGGAGTTTGAGGCTGGAGAATTGCTGCAAGTTGGAGGTCAGCCTGGTCTACATGGTAAGTTCTAGGACAGCTAAGAACTACTCGGTAGACTCTGCCTCAAAACAGAACAGAAAGGAATAGAGGAATGGCAGTTCAAGTCTATAACCCCAGCACCAGGGAGGTAGAGACAGAAAAATCAGAAGTTCAAGGTCACACCTGGACTGCTCAGACAGTTTGAAAGCGCCATGGGTTACAGAGTTAAAAGACCCTGTCTCAAAACAACAATCTTGCTGGGTATAGTGGCGCACACCTTTGATCCCAGCACTTCGGAGGCAGAGGCAGGCAGACCTCTGAGTTTGAGGTCAGAATGATATCCATAGTGAGTTCCAGGTCAGCCAGAACTACAAGGTGAGAGAGACCCTGTCTCAGAAACCAACAAAAATGAAAAATTCCAGAAGGACAGAGTCAGAAAATGAACATGCTTCCGGGGGAGGGTATCCCTTTAAATGGCTACTAGGAGAGGGTTCTGGAATCTCTGCTGCCTCACAGAGACCCATCCTCCACCCCTCCCACCCTATGGGCTGTCTGTCCCAGGGGACCGGCTGTGAGTCATTTTCTGAGGTGTATACATGTAGGGGTAGGTGTGTGGAGGGCACTGAGTCAATGGGACCCTGTACATGGGGCATTCAGCTGATTTGGAAGTCTCTGGAAGAGCCCTGAAGTAAAGATGGTGGGTGGGGGAGGGGTGTCTTCCAGTGAGCCCGTCTTAGAGTACACTAGGCGGCAGAGAGTTTCTTAGAGGCAATCATAAGTTCTTTGCCAAGGTGGTTGAGGAAGAGGCCAGGAGCATGATGGGAGACTGGGAATCTTTTTGTTTTGTTTGAGACAGTCTCACATAGCCCAGACTGGCTTTAAACTCAGTGTGTAGTGAAAAATTACCTTGAACTTCCTGCCCCTACCCCCAGGTCCTAGGATGACAGGTGTGCCCCACTGTGCTTGGTTTATTCAGTACTAGGGAATGGAACCTAAGGCCTTGTGTGTGCCAGGCAAGCACTCTAGCACAGAGCTACATGTCTAGCTCCTGTTTTGTTTGTTGGTTGGTAGGTTTTAATTGAGACAGGGTTTCACACTATAGTCCACCTAGCCCAGAACTCATTATATGGTCCAGGTCTGCCTTGGACTTTCAGTCTCTCGACTCAGCCTCCTTGGTGCCAGGATTACAGGTTTGAGCTACCACGTGACTAGTGTTGGGGATCTTGAGGTCATCCAGCAGGAGGGCTTGGGGTGGGAGGCCTTCTGCAGTGGAGGAGCCCCCCCCCCAATCAGGGATGTGAGCCAGCCTACCTCAATGTCCTTGGCAGCTGCTTCCTTGGCATGGGGGTGAAGAGGAGCCTTCAGACTGGAGGCAGTTTGCTTAATCTCTTGACCAGCATCCTCACAGTACTGTCCACTGCTACCAACTACTGGATCCGACAGCCCGGGGGCCACAGTGGCCTGTGGCAGGACTGCACCCATGGCATCTGCTCCAACATTCCCTGCCAGAGTGAGACCCTTACCTGCCCCTATATCAGACCACATTCCAGAGCCCACCCTTACCCCCAGCTCCAGCTGTGCCCTTCCACCCCAGGCTCAGATCCATCCCTCCTCTACCATGAAAGCTCTTTCTCCCCAGACCTGTCTGGCTGCTATCTTCCTACATGACCTCATCGGTCCCCATATAAACACCTGCAGACAGCTGAGCTCTAGATGCTCAGGTGTGTGTGTGGTGGGGCCAGGGTGGCCAGAAGAGCTCAAGGTTGCTCTTTCATGGTGGCAGAGTGCCCGGCTGACGCTACCTTGTCTCTCCAGACACCCTGGCGGTGACCGCAGCATGCATGGTGTTGGCAGCGACCTTCAGTATCATATCTTTGGGGTTGGGGATCAGGATTCGGTGCCAAGAGGGCGAGTCACTGCGTAGCAAGAATACCATTGTCTTACTTTTTCTCAGCGGTGAGAAGACAGCCACCTCCTTGGCGGAGAGTGGGTGGTGGTGATGGCGGTCCTGAAGGCGGTGGGCCAAGAGAGGTTGACTGATATAGTTAGAAATTAAGGGGTGTGGCTGAAGGGTGGAGTGGAGGAGTCCAGTACAGGAAGGACAGACTCCTGACAGGGGGAGTGGGTGTATCTCTGACTCTTTTGCCTGCTCTTAGGACTGTTGACTTGTCCAGCCTGGATATGAGGGCTTTTGCCTTGCCATTTTGTATATTACTTTGTCCATTTGGCTGGGGTCTCTTGGAGGTCTGCCCTTTTCTGAAGAGGAAGCAGAGGGGAGGAAGTCTACCTTGGGGAGGGGGGAAGATATGGAGAAACTGACAAGTGGAGGGAGAGAAAACTGGTCAGGATGTACTGTACAACGGAAGAATCTATTAAAAAAAAAATAGAAAGGACAACGGGCAGTGGGGGGTTGGGGGGGTCACAAAAGTGAAGCCAAAGGGTAGCTGGGCTACCTTTGCACAGGCCAGAGGCCGTTCTGAAAAGCGTGGTCTTGGCAATAGGGGTGGGCTTGGGTGCTGCCCCTACCTGGTCCCTGCTCACCTGACCGGTGGGCGTGACTCAGGGCTGCTGTTGCTGATTGCTTTGACGGGATACACTGCAAAGAACGCCTGGAAGCACGAAGTCTTCTTCTCCTGGTCCTACTTTTTCGGATGGCTGGCTTTACCCTTCTCATTTCTTGCGGGTAACCAGCCCAAGGGGAAGAGGGTGGAGATTACCCCTCTAGAGGATTCCCCTCCCCAGAAACTTCCCAGTCACCTGTTCTCCCAGGGAGGCCTAAATGACTTCCAGGGACTCCCCAACACCTGCACTCCAGACTCCAGCACACCCGGTGGGAGACACCCTTGGAGCCCCCATCCCTAGTCCTCAGGCAGGCCATGTCATCCGCCCCAGGGCCCACCTTCCTCCACCGGCTCTGCACTCCCCTTCTGCCAGGCTTCTGCTTTCTGCTGGCGGACATGATCGTGCAGAGCACCGAAGCCATCAGCGGATTCCCAGTGTGCCTGTGAATGCGGCCTGACTGGGGGGAATAAAGGAATGGCTTTTAGCGCCGGTCCTGTGTGCTTTCATGCGGAACGTAATAGGCAGGGACACGGATACGGGGGTGGTGGGGGGCGCTTGTAGAGAGTAAAGAGGTCAGGAGCAATGTGTGCCTTGGGAATGGACACTGGGACATGAAGTGGACCCGGGGTGGAGGTGGGGGTCGCAGGAGATTTGGACGCAGGGAGAGGATATGGGGGTTAGCCGACACGGGGGAGTCGTAAGGGGACGTGAGGGCTGGGGACGAGCGGACACGGGGTTGTCACAGGGAAGGAAAGCGTAGATGCATAGATATGGAGGGAATCTACAGAAAGAACGCGGAGACAAGCAAGCAAGGGGCCCTTGGGCGTGGGAAAAAAGGCACTGGGTGCGCGTGGAAACAGACATGGAGACTTGGGGTGGTGGAGAAAGAGGGAACCTGGATGTGAACCGCAGAACTGAGGACAACAGAAATGCGGAGGAGGAGGGGCGGGTCTCCCAGAAAACTTCACTCTTAGCAATGCCCTTTCCCCTACTTCCGCGCCACGCCCCCTCCACTCATCGGCCCACCCTGGATCCCGCCTCTCTCCCTGAATGCCATTTCCCATTGGCTTTCTCTGGGCTATGCGGCAGTTGATTGGTTGGTGGTGCGGCACGCAGGCGCAGAGACAGCTACGGAGCGGAGTGACCTGAGGTCTGGCTTAGTCGCAATCTGACCTGGCCAGTGACTGCTACAGGAAGATGGCGGAGCTGCGCGCGCTCGTGGCTGTCAAGCGGGTCATCGACTTCGCGGTGAAGGTGACTTTCCCCACCCCGACTCTGTCCCAGCACCTTGAGAGCGCAGCTATGAGCTTCCAGATCAGGAGCATACCCTGCATGGGAGATCCTTCTCAAATTCTATTGCCCTTTGACCCAGTCAGTCATGCCTGGAGCAAAGATCAAGGGCTGTGAGTTTCCGAAAATCAGAACCCTGTGGGGTTACGACCCCCCCTCCCTCTTCCCCAGTCCCTTGATAAACTGTGGGCTGCAGGGTCATAGTCCCTATTTAACACATGGGGAAACTGAGGCACAAAGTCACTTGGCAAGGGAGAAGCAGAATAGAGACTTCTGTGTAGGGCCTGTGATTGAGTCAGTCGCCCCTTTCCAGACTGCACTGCATTACCTGCTCTGCAAGTGTTCCACGTGGGGAGCCATCTGGCTCCATGGGACTCAGAAACTGCCTCACACAAATAACCACAGGTGGCTTGAGGAAACTCTTTTGCTAGAAAGAGGAGACTTGTGTTTGCTGGAGAACCTAGTTCAAAGGTGCCAGCTTGACTGAGGCAGTGCAGTGTGCCTGGCCTGTCCTTGTTCACGAGAGGTTTGAGAGCTGGACCCCTGAGGTCCTGGCTTCTCCCCGGAAAGAAGCTGGTATAGGCAGCACTAAATCAGACTGGTTCCCTCTCAATGATTGGCCTGACTGATCTGACCTGAAAAAGTTGGTGGCAGTTCATGTCTGTGTCCATCATACTGGGAATTCTCCCTCCGTGTCCTTCAAATTCCCTAGCATTCCCAGCATAGGGACTATGGACCCAAGAGACCTCTGAAATAGGTGAAAACTGGCTACAACGTTGACATTAATATTGACATCCCCACACCCCACTGAGGAATGGTATCGGGAAGATACAGGAGAGACTCGGATGGGAAGTGGCCGGGACCCTAACAGCAGAAATAGGTACAAAGCACCAGCAGAAACAAGTCCTACACAGAGACTATAATCCATTTGTACATCTTCTACACTCAACCCCATAGACTGGATGAGTAAACCAAGGCCTGTGGAGGCCTTACTGCTTGCCAGATGCCCAAGCTTGGGAGGATCCTCAAGCTGGAAAAGCAGCAGGAGTCAGAAGTCCAGGCAAGTCTAGCTCTCAGCCTGTTTGCTAAAGAGAAAACAGGTTGGCTTGAGGATGCTTCTAGCAGCCCATGGCAGAGATAGTTTCCAACTTTACTGAGGCACACAAGGGTTCCTGGGACCCAGCTCAACTACCATTTATTTGTTTGTTTACTCTCTCTCTCTCTCTCTCTCTCTCTGTGTGTGTGTGTGTGTGTGTGTGTGTGTGTGTGTGTGTGTGTGTGTGTGTGTGTGTTTTGATGGGCAATCTAATCCAAATTCCAAATGCTAGGCCAGGCAAGTGTTGTACCACTGAGCTATATATAGCCCCAGCCCTTTTTCTGCTTTATTTTTAAATCATTATTATTTGAAACAGGGTCCTTTTTATTTAATATTTTTTAAATGATTTACTTATTTTGTTTTATGTGCATTGGTGTTTTTGCCTGAAGCATGCATGTATGAGGATGTTGAATACCCTGGAGCTGGAGTTTACAGACATCTGCATGTGGATAGCCCAGTCATTGCTCTTAACCACTGAGCTATCTCTCCAGTCCCTAATTTTATTTTAAATATGTTCATGTGTGTGGATGTGCGCACATAAGTGTAGGTGCCCTTGAAAGCCAGAATAGGGCATCAGAGCCCCTGAAGCCAGAGTTACAGCTGGTTGTGAGCTGCCTGATGGGGTGTTGGGAACTGAACCTGGATCCTTTAGAAGAGGAGCAAGTGTTCTTAGCTGTGCTACCTCTCCAGCCCCTAGGTTGGCCTGGAGCTCACTATGGTAGCGAGGATGACCTTGAAACCCTGATCCCCTGCCTCCACAGCCTTAGCGCAGGGATTACAAATGTGCACTACCATACCTGCATCATCTCTGTTTTATTCTGAGGTGTCTTATTGCCCAGGCTGGCTTTGATGCTTGGCCTGCAGCACCACTCCCAGGATCCTCGACGCCTTGAATCAGTCGGTGGGCATTTCTGGTTTTTCCAGTGAGAGCTGAGAGCTGAGAGGTGAACACAGCATGGCCTCTGCCACTCTCCTTTCCTCGGGGTCAGTGGTGCTTCTCTCCCACACTATGAGGGCTTCCTACTTCATACCCGGTGTCTGCTGGTTCTCTCTCCAAGGAAGTCAGGGTGTCACACCCTGCTAGCCACCTGCTCACTTGGGCCAGACTTAGGCACCATTCTTTCTCCTAACCCACAGCCTCCCATGGATTGTCAGTTCTCAGCCCCAACCCTGATACACCATTGTTTCCTTTCCAGCCTCAGGCCCAAGGTCCCAGGTTCTGCATCAGCCCCTGTTTCACCTAAACCCAAGCTCCATCCTGACCCCTGTATCTTGGGCTCTCCCCTTCAGCCCTTGTTCATCCAGCCTCGGGGACTTCCTACATGCAGGACTGACCTTGCGTTGCCCTCCTCAGGGTTCTGTGTCTCCCCAGCACTCTCGATACAAAGGCCCGCTTCGTTGGGTGGCTTTGGGAGCCCTTTGTTGTTTGGTACAGTCATCCACGTCCCTCCTGGGACCCTCCCTTAGCATCTCTGCTCCCATTACTCAAGCCTGTACCTCATGTTAACTGATTCCCTCACGTTGAACGTGTTCTTTCTCTATCTCCCAGTGTCATCTTCCTGTCTTGACCAATTGATTGCATCAACGTTGAAACAATCTCCTCCCTCGCAGGACCTCTGATCTTGTTCTATAATCCCTTTCCATAGTACATGGTGGTCTCGGTTTACCCCACTGCACCACCAGACGCCAATTTCCAGGTTGGCAGCTCCTTGACAGCTGGACCAGGTCTGCCTCACCTCTGTTCCCAGCGTCACCCAGTTTCTCATAGTGTTTGCTCAAAGATCATCTTCTCTGAGGCCCTCTGTGATCTCTTGTTGAAGACCGCAGTGCTCAGGGGCCCTCCGCCCTCATACTATTAGCATGTAACCAGTGTCACTTTCTGATTGACAATCTGGAATTTAAAATGTGCTGGTGAAAGAGTGCCAGGTATCTTCACAGTGGGAACAGCCCCAGGCTGCAGGCATGCCATCAGAATGGTCTGGCACACTGATAAAATGACCCTTAAAAATTATTTTTGTCGTATGTGTAAGAATGTTGGCCTGTAAATATGTAATGTGCAGTATTTGCATGCAGTGCTCTTGGGGGCCAGAAGAGGGCACCTGATCCCCTAGAACTGAAATTATAGCATGTGAGTGCATGCTCAGAACTGATCCCCAGGCCTCTGCAAGTGCAGCCAGTGTTCTTAACCACTGAATCCTCTCTCCAGTCCCAGGGACCCCAAGACCAGCTGTCTGGGCCCACTCCTGGCTCTGTGACTTTGAGGAAGTTAAATTAGCCACTCAGAGCCTCATTATCCTCCTTTTGACATTGGCACTTATGTTAGTTCCTACTTTATGGGGTTTAGTTCATTTTTATTGCATTTATTTGTTTTAGGGGTGGTGGTGGCCATGTACATGCCACAGCACTACTGTAGAGACCAGAAGCCAACTCGAGGGAGTAGGTTCTCTTCCTCGACTGTGTCTGTCTCAGAGATCAAATTCAGATTGTCAGCTTTGGCAGCAAGCATCCTTATCTACTGAACCACCTCAGTGGCCCAAAAGGGTGGCCCAGGCTGGCCTGAAACTCATCATCCTCCTACCTGAGCCTGTTCAGCATATCCTACTGGCAAGTGCCCCATGTGGGCTATTGGAGTTAGGTTAGATAGTCCTTGGAACAGTGCCTGGTATGCAGTGAGTGCTGTTAACTGTTTGAACTGTGAGTGATAGAAGTCTCTTTAGCAATTTCCTTAAAATATAACCAGTACTTGCAGAGATGGAGAAAGAAGGTATTAATTTGGCAACTCTGTGGTGTTTGGTTATGACCAGGGACATGTTTTCCATGAAGGTTAACTCTCTTTGAGTTATCCAGGGGAGGCTGGATAATTGAGGCCCAGAATAGAACCTTGTGACCCAGGAAGCATGTCTCTACCTGTGGAGTGACTGCCCTGCCCCTTTAGTGCTTGAGACACTGGCTCTCTGCACCTTCCTTCACTACCCACACTTTCACCTCCCAACCTCAGGCCCTGGACCACTTCCAAGGGACGTTCTCAGTTCGCTATCACTGAGCTCCCTTGTTGGCAGCTCTGACCCCACATTAGCCAGTCTGTC